GGAAGTTGTCAAGGGAAGGTTTTCAGGCAACAACTAGGATTTGTATTTCTTGTGTTAATGGTGTTTAACTGGTTTTTTGACTAAAACATCCATGGGTTTCAGTTATCCAGTCACACCATCAGGAATAACGACCAAGTTTGTGGATGAGCAGACAATAGCAACTACATTGAAACTGCTGAGCAGTGAAAACAACTGAAAAAGACCAATTGTCTCAATTTCAGAGATGTTAAAATGTGAAAATAGATGTATCTTGGAAGAGATAAAGTATTTTTTTTTTACAAATAAGGATATATAATAATAAGCCCCCAAAAAGCTCAGCTGCTCAGGAGCTCGCATCATTCTCTGAACTCCATCCCATTGTTAGCACTCCAGTCCAAGCCTTCACAAACCTAGGGCAATGCATTAAGAAGGGTCTGGGGGGCTTCCCTGGTGGCGCAGTGGTTGAGAGTCCGCCTGCCGATGCAGGGGACACGGGTTCGTGCCCCGGTCCGGGAAGATCCCACATGCTGTGGAGCGGCTGGGCCCGTGAGCCATGGCCGCTGAGCCTGCGCGTCCGGAACCTGTGCTCTGCAACGGGAGAGGCCACAACAGTGAGAGGCCCGCATACCGGTAAAAAAAAAAAAAAAAAAAAGAAGGGTCTGGGGTTAAGAGGAAAGAGAACTGGCTTTAGTGTCTGAAGACCTGAGTCTGACTCTCAGCCCTGTGGTTTTTCAGATGAGCTGCTCCAGGGGTCAAGTCACTATTCTTTGGGGAAATACCTAATTCCGAAGGTTTTAGGAGGGGGTTTAATGTATGCAAAAGCACTTTAACTGTAAAATTTATATGCAGAGGACAAAGAATTAATGTTTGTTGAGGGCCAGGAACTGTGCTGGGTACTTTGCTTGCATTATCTCATTCGATCTGCTGTAAATGCTGAGGCATGTAGTATCTTGATCATCTTGCTATCTAATCCACTTAATTCTGTATTAAGTTTTTTTCCTAAAATACCTCTTTCCTTGTCTCATGCCTTAAAGCAGAAATCATCTGTGCTACTGTTTGGATCACAAACAGGTTGATGACTGTGAGCCTGTCACAGAACTGCAGCCTCTTACTTGCTCTTCTTGCCTTGTAGCCAGAAACAATTGAAATAAGAGACCCTTGGGCTACAAGTGTACTGCCTTCTCTGTGACTCTGATGCCAAAACTAGCCCCCGAGGACCATGCAGAAAGTTTTTACTTATGGTAAAAGTCCAAAATGGATCCAAGATTCAGGGTGTTAATCTAAGTGAGCATTAGACAATGTGAACCGATTCAGATGTGCATAAAGTTGGCATCCAAAAAACCATAGAAAACAGAGCCCCCAGGGACAAGAATATAGTTTGGGGGGGCTGTAACTCTATTCATGGGAGGAGAAGTTACCAACAAGAAATCTAGTTCTGGGGAATAGAAGTATAAGACAGGAATCCCCTTAAAGCTCGATTACCTTTGAGACTGAATCATTGAACTAGTGACCTAGTCTCCTCATGTTCTTCTAGCAGGAAGAATTTGAGTCCTTGAATTGAGTGAAGCTGAAATTACAAGTTAGGGTTATAGAGTCAAGCTCAAAGTCTAGAGCATTACAAAGTTAAGAGCTAAGCACATTGTTACACCAGGTACATGAAATGCTATCTTGAAATACAAATAAGCGGGAGTGAGGTGGAGTGGGGTGGGGTCTAAAGCAATAAACTTTACTGTATTTCAAATGTCCACAGGATAACTTTTAAAGCCTCAAAGGGGCAAAGATTCACAAAAATTGGGGGGTCTTGAAGACCCATATCAAGGCCACCATCTTAGGACACCTCCAACAGCAGTGCTGTAATGTTTAATTTATAACTCAGGGTAATACTCATATTGTCCTCTGATTAGTTTATATTTACATTGACTCTACATTAAGATTTTAAGCTTGAGGGTGGTAATAGCATCTTACTTTTTAAAATGTTCTGTAGGGCTTCCCTGGTGGCACAGTGGTTGAGAATCCGCCTGCCAATGCAGGGGACACGGGTTCGAGCCCTGGTCGGGGAAGATCCCACATGCCGCGGAGCAGCTAAGCCCGTGCAACACAACTACAGAGCCTGCGCTGTAGAGCCTGTGAGCCACAACTACCGAAGCCCGCACACCTAGAGCTCGTGCTCCGCAACAAGAAAAGCCACCGCAATGAGAAGCCCGTGCACCACAACAAAGAGTAGCCCCCGCTCGTTCTCGCAACTAGAGAAAGGCCACGTGCAGCAACAAAGACCCAACGCAATCAAAAATAAATAAAATAAAATAAAATGTTCTACAGTGCAGTACCTAGCATAATGCTATATAGATCTAAAAAAACTTATTAATGTCACGCTTTCTTATTTGAATCTGGTGCAGTTTATATATGATCTCTATAAAGGTGAGAACCTAGATTACTTTTTGCCATTCAGCACATAATTTTCCAAGAAACCAGCCACTCCAGAAAATCTATCTTATTTGCAGAACTATTGCAAAATCTGACACTCCTCTTCACTTCACTGGAATGCCCTTGTAATTGCCAAATGTTGCCTTGCCTCATGGAAATTCTTGGCCAGACCTATGGATTGCTGGCCCTTGCAGCTGTTGACCCTTGAAGTCCAATTCTCCTATAAAATTAAATCAAACAACGCCTCTTAGTGATCTAATATGAACAGGCACTGAGCTAGTTACCATCAAAGGTACAAATGTATGATCACTGCCCTCAAGTAGTTTATAGTTTATATAAAAACAAACATCAATATTTAAATAGTGTAAAGACAACTGACAGATGATACAGAAAAAAATGAATTTACTGGAGGATAAGACATCATTTTTACCCCTTTATCTAGAAAGCCAGATCCCAGTGTCAGAGCTCCCCATGCCCTGTTTTCCTTCATGTTACTATTTTGAGGTGCACTTGTGGAAGAGGTATGATGTCCTTGTCCTATATAAGTCTTCCATGTACCTTGGGCCATCTCCTGGATGTTTGGTCCTCATCTCTTGACCTAAGGTTACTCAATGGCACTCATTGAGATTCCTGCCTTGGGAAATGTCCGCCTCCTCTCTTTACTACTAATTCCGTATATTAGGGCCTATACTCTTGTTGATTTTGTTTTTCAGCTTTCTAGACCTGCGGACCTTGGGCTGGTACAAGGCCACAAAGATATATTTATTCATGTTGTCACAAGACTTACTTTCTTCCCCTAGGATGTTGGGCCAGAATATATATGATTTCTATTCATCCTCATCACTCTGCCTGGAATATAATTTTCCCTGGGACAGCCTTTTCTTCTGAGGTGAAGAGATTGTCAAAAGCAGTGCAGCAACTACTGCCTCCTGTTCCTTCACCTCATTTTCCCTGTTCCCTCCTTACCCTCTCTTCCTTGGCGACTTCATCTGTTTCCCTATGAGAATGAATGTTATCCCATTCCAAGTCTTCAATCAATGTGTTCTAAAAGGAGAGAAAGCCTAAGAGTATGAGTCAACTTTACTCCTGGTACGGAACCCTTTTTGTTCTCTTGTTAGTTGCCCTGAGGAACAGGGAAGGGAAGTGCAGCTTCTACTTCTCCTTTCTATTTTTCTAATTCTCTTTCCCTTTCATAAAAAGGAAGTGAATTGCGGTCAACCTATTTCATTAATTTAAAAGAGATCCATTTAAAAGAAAGCGATAACACACTGAGCTCCTGTTATATGCACATAGGGCATTACGAAGTACTTAACTTTATGGTGCTTAACATGTTACAATTGACTTTATTAACCTTAGTGTTGGCTTCTTCGGCAAAAACAGAAGATGAACAGGCATCTGCCTGATGGCCTGACAGTTGAAAATGCTCTCCTTCAACTTTTCCAGGTGTGGAGAGGGTAACTGTGACCTGCCTTTCTGTCCTCACCTTATATTTCAGTGATTTATATGTGCAGCTAAGCCTCCAGTATAATGCAACCTCCTGGAGGAGAGAATCTTGTTTTCTCACCCATCTTTGTTTCCCTCCACATCGTCAAGTTGCACATCCACATTGCACATGTCAATACTCAACAAATGTTTTTGATAAGTCAATCAGTCAAGCAAGCCTTGCCAAAGCGGTCACCTGTCGTTACTGCCTGGCTTTGTGGAAATCTTTCAACCCTGCATGTCGGTTCTCTTGAGTGTTAAAAATAACAGCAACAACAATAATAGGTGTTACCTGTGCAACCATGAGGAACAACTCCCGTGAGAGCCAATGACAATGAGAGAAAGGGCAAGGAGTCATGTTGGGAGCACAGTCATTCGACCCTGCCTCAAACAGACCCAGGAAACAGCTCTGAGGAATTACATCCAGAAGGGAGCCGCTGGAGAACACCCACATTCAACACCAGTACCTATGACTTTCCGCACTCAGGAGACAGCCCCTGAGAGACCTTGCTCCATGTCTCACACTGGGAGTGAAGAAGGGGAGCCTCTCTCTCTGGCCCCAGCCCGGAAACTTGAGCGGTTCCCTGACACAAGGATTGCTGAGAGAATGAGCAGATGCAATAGGAATGCCTGTGCCCTTCCCTGACTGCCTATTTTGGCCATATCCCTGCTTTTAGTCTCCACAGTGGAGGCATCAGGGGATTGAGCCAAGCCAAAGATACAGGAGAAAGATCTGGAATATACCTCAGTGGGTAGGGAGGGGAGCATACAGAGAGGAATGTTCAGAAAACAAACTTCATGAAAGAATCTGGAGTGATAAAGGGGCCAAGTCTTCTACTCAGTTAACCCCCAGTCACTGGTAGGAGCGTCATTTTAATGTATGATTGTTGGGGAAAGGTGGGATATGGTAAATCATGATACTTCGAGGGGGTGGACCTGACAGTCTAGTCCCCCGGTTGGCCTTCAGTGAAGAGAATCAGTACCAGTGGCTTGACTTCCCTGATTCACCCTACCCCTCTCCCAGCACCATCTAGTGATCTCTCCAGGGAGAGCCTGTGGCTATTATCGAGTCTATCCAGTGTCCTGTGTTTATGCACCAGGAGCTTTGGGTCTACCTGAAATTCTTTCCATCTGGCAGAACGGAGCTGGGAATGGTAGGCCTCGAAAGGGCTTCAGTTCTTGACCTTTCCAATGTGGCAGTCCAGTAGTGCTGGAAAAATATTGCTCTGGCAGGACCCTCTTCCTTTTCCTTGTACCCTGAAGATGTGTAAAATCCTCACCTGCAGAAGGAGAAGAGAGAGGAGTTTATCCACAGGGAACCATTCGTTCCCTGTCATCACCTGCTGTTCATAGCTGCTGCACAGCACATGTAGGCAGTGAGGCATCCATTACTTAACTTTAAACTCTGCAGTTACCCTGGGCCCAAAGGTTCTGGGAGCAGCTTCCTTCCTTTAAGTCCTTCTTTTGTTTTTTTAAAGATTTTGTGTGTGTGGTTTTTTTTGTGTGTGTGTGGTACGCGGGCCTCTCACTGTTGTGGCCTCTCCCGTTGCGGAGCACAGGCTCCGGACGCGCAGGCTCAGCGGCCATGGCTCACGGGCCCAGCAGCTCCACGACATGTGGGATCTTCCTGGACCGGGCCACGAACCCGTGTGCCCTGCATCGGCAGGCGGACTCTCAACCACTGCGCCACCAGGGAAGCCCAATTTTGTGTTTTTTTTGATGTGACCATTTTTAAAGTCTTTATTGAATTTGTTACAATATTGCTTCTGTTTTATGTTTTGCTTTTTTGGCCAGGAGGCATGTGGGATCTTAGCTCCCCGACAGGGATTGAACCCGCACCCCCTGCATTGGAAGGCAAAGTCTTAACCACTGGACCACCAGGGAAGTCGCTCCCTCCTTTAAGTCTTGACAGCTCTAGCCAGCAGGGCTTCCAGCCTTCTCTTCACTAGTTGCAAGAAATTCATAAATTCCGTGTTGTTATCAGCAGGAGACTCCCCGGCATTCTGGAAGTTCTATATGAGAGTAGGAATGGCTGCTGCTGCTGTAGCTGCCTGGACCTACAGCAAAGAGCCAAGGAAAAAAGTCACTTAACACCGTGTGCCCCCGACTCCCCCAGAGCTGGCACAGCCGAAGGAGTCTGCAGAGCCACGTAAATCTTCCTCCAAGCAGTCTATCTCTACAGTAGCTGCAGAACAGTGTTTTTGGTACCTTTTAGTTTTCAGTAGATGGGCGGAAATGGATAGCAACAGTCTCTGTTTCTGAAGCTAGAGAGCCAACCAGCAAAACCTTCAGGAAGGAGAAGGCAGCTTCCGCCAGAGGGGTCTTGTCTCTTATTGTCGCTGTCAGTACTTTTGGGCCTCAGTGAGAGGACTTTCCCCTAAGAACCTGGAACTAAAGTTGCCCTTTTAGATTTAAACCTTCAAATCAATGCATAATGGATCAAAGTATAGTTGTTCAAAATCTGGGGATTCCCTGGTGGTCCAGTGGTTAGGACTCTGGTGCTTTCACCACCAAGGGCTTAGCTTCAATCCCTGGTTAGGGAGCCGCGCGGCAATCAATCAATCCAATCAATCAACCAAAATCTTAGTGAAAGAAGAGTTATGCTGTAACCTAAAAAAAAATAACCTAAATTCAGGAAAGAATTGGTCATTCCTCAAAACAGGAAGAAAAGGTCTAAGAAGCAAATGCTGGGGCTTCCCTGGTGGCACAGTTGTTAAGAATCTGCCTGCCAATGCAGGGGACACGGGTTCGAGCCTTGGTCCGGGAAGATCCCACATGCCACGGAGCAGCTAAGCCTGTGCGCCACAACTGCTGAGCCTGGGCTCTAGAGCCCACGAGCCACAACTACTGAGCCCCCGTGCCACAACTACTGAAGCCTGCGTGCCTGGAGCCCGTGCTCTGCAGGGAGGAGAGGCCACCGCAATGAGAAGCCTGTGCACTACAATGAAGAGTAGCCCCCGCTCGCTGCAACTGGAGAAAGCCCACGTGCAGCAAGGACACAATGCAGCCAAAAATAAATAAATAAAATTAAAAAAAAAAAAAGGAGCAAATGCTGGCAGTGTTTATCCAAGTGTTTTTAGGTGAGAGGTTACACTGGCCTGTTCAATTCTACAGGCAAGTAAATTGCTGCTTTGGAGTTGGATGAGTTTGGTTCTATCAAACATTCATATATAAAACAGACACCCTTGTTTCTGATTCCATGCTCTTCAAGCAGCCTACTCTTAAAATCTGATTCTCAGGTGCCGGTCACAGGACATGAATGTTTTAGCCCTTGGCTATTCTATTTCTATTTCTATTCATAATTTTCATTATGAATAAACTGGTGCTCTGATTTTGAATACCAGCTTCTGGAAGCTTGAGTCTGCTCTGGGAGATGAATCCACAATCTATGTGTTAATTGATTGAATTTCTAAGCCTATAGGACTGAGGACCAGAACTATACTCTGGTGAGTCATCAAAGTAAAACTATGCTGTGGAGGACCTTTTGGGGTCCCTGGAAGCTCCCTGGCTGGTTGGTGGTCAGTATCCTTCCTACTCATACTCCTAAAGTTATAAGACCTAGTGAGCATTTTATCTATATTCAGGGACTGGCAGGATAAAATTGTGTTAGGGATCCCGGTCTGGAGTCAGAGAGACTTGGTATATATCCTTTCTTCCATTATTAAATTAAGCAAATTTCATAATCTTTCCGTTTCAATTTTTCTCACTTGTGATTTGGGGATAACAAAAGTGTCCTCAACACAGAATTGTTTGGAAACAAATGAGACAGCGTATTAAGCACTTCATGCAGGACCTAACATAAAGTGATGCTTAATAAATAGTAATTACTATTTTAATAGCTCTCACTGGATGCCAGGCACTATGCTAAGCGTTGATATATTTGCCCAAAGTCAAACAGCTGGCAAGTGGTAGAACTGGGCATTGAACCAGGCCAAAGCTAATGTATTTGACTACTAGGTTAAACTGTCTTTGATGGCTTAACAAACACAGCAAAACCTACCCTTCTGAAAAGTGTCCTCTCCTTTAGAGGAATACATTTGGAAGACTGTATATGTTTTCTTAAGCCTATTCGGAACTCCTCTTGTGGACTTACCTGAGAAATCTGTGATATATTTTTGGAACACCCTTAACAAGGGTAAATCTTTGTTCTTTAAGAGAAAATTTGGTCTTCCTGGACTTCCCTGGTGGTGCAGTGGTTAAGAATCCGCCTGCTTATTCAGGGGACATGGGTTCGAGCCCTGGTCCGGGAAGACTCCACATGCCGCGGAGCAACTAAGCCCATGTGCCACAACTACTGAGCCTGCGCGCTACAGCCCACGAGCCACAGCTACTGAGCTCGCATGCCACAACTACTGAAGCCCACGCGCCTACAGCCCGTGCTCCACAACAAGAGAAGACACCACAATGAGAAGCCCGTGCACTGCAATGAAGAGTAGCCCCTGCTCACCACAACTAGAGAAAGCGCGCACGCAGCAACAAAGACCCAACGCAGCCAAAAATAAATAAATAAATAAATGTGTTTAAAAACAAAAAGACAAGATTTGGTCTTCCTTAATAACAAAACTTACTCAGTGCCAAGCCCAGTAAATAAAGCAGAGAATTACAAGGAGAAATGCCTTCTTTGGTGGAAAAACACGCGGTCTAGAAAGCAATTCCACAGTTTTGTCAGAAGCAGCAAATACTTCATCATCACAGAGCATTTTCTATTGTTGCTGACTTCACTCTCCTGCCACATTGGTTTTGTATGGGGTGAAGTTAGTAAAGATGTATTGTTATTAACAAATTCGATTAATTTCAAATGGTTGAATTATTATAACTGAAGACTAATTGGTAGATTAATATAAAATAAGGAATGATCCCCAGTGAAGGCTTTGTCCTTTTAACAGTTCTATTATTGACATGAAAGTATGCTCATCAAACCTGTAAATCAAAGCTGGGAATGGGTGATTTTAGAAAAACGGGGAGGGGACTGAAAATTTAACAGAGTAAAATGTAAGGCGCTTTACTTCGAGCTAGAAAAAATTAACTGCGTGTACGGGATAAGAAATATAGCATAGCAGAAGCACATAAGAAAAATGCTTGGAAGTTTTAGTAGACAGGAACTCACTTAAGTTAATGACTGCCAAGAAAAATACTTAGATATTAAGCTGAATTAAAGGAAGCATAGATTCTAGACAAAGGAGGTGACATACTCTGCTGATTAGCTTTCTGGAAAAGACAATATAAGAGGGTTTAGGGTCAAACTGAACTGTATTCAGGGACTTCCCTGGAGGTCCAGTGGTTGAGACTCCACCCTTCCAGTGTAGGGGGCACGGGTTCAATCCCTGGTCAGGGAACTAAGATCCCACATGCCGCTTGGCGCAGTCAAAATAAACAAAACCAAAATGAAACGAACAAACAAAAAACTGAACTATATTCAGAAGAGAATAATCATTATGGTAAAAGAATATGAGAAATGTTGAATTATTAGGAGACAATTGTTGTTTGAAGGTGAAAGATTGGGGGGCATGATTGATTTCTTTAAATATTTAACGTGTAATCACATGGGGATGTGAGTGGAAGCTTCATTGAGATCGATTTTTAGTTCAGGATGCAAAAGAAATGTATACAAGTGACAAAAAACTAAAAATGAAATGAGGTTTCAGGAAAAAGTTTCCCCATCACTTGAGGTGCTCCAGAGAAAAAGAAACTCAACAACTTATGTCTTTCTCCCCAAGAGAGGACTCAAACCTATCAGATCCTGTTACTATCAGATCCTGTTTATAATCATCACCATCAGCCAAAAGCAACGTTAAAGCACCCACATGTATTGTGAAGGTAAAGTGACCAACTATCCTGATTTTCCCAGGACTGAGGGAAAGGTTTCCTGGTGTGCAGGACTTAAGGGTGCTAAAGTAGGAAAAGTCTCATGCAAACCTCGATGAGTTAATCACCCCAGAGGTGAAGGAATCTTACATTAAGTGGGTCCTTTAAGGAATGGTTAAGACAAACATAAAAGATATGCAATCAAACCTTCCTTGAACCGACACATGAACAAGTGAAGGCATTGTCCTTTCTCTTCCATATAACTGAAATTTCTAGATATATGAAGCTTACTTTTAAGATACCAACAAGTTTATATATATTAGATTTATAATGTCCTAAAACATATTACATAGTTCTTTATGCTCTTTATCAGACAATGTGGAATACAGATTTGTCTTTTTTTGAAAATATATTAAGAAAAAATTAGAATTAGAATATACAGTAGCCATAAAACAAAACAGGTAAGACTTAAGTTTTAAAGTCTGACAGATGTGGGTTTGAACTTGCTTCTGTCAATTACAACGTGTCAAGTACAAAACAGGTAAGACTTAGGTTTTAAAGTCTGACAGATGTGGGTTTGAACTTGCTTCTGCCAATTACAACGTGTCAAGTTACTTAATCTGTGTCTCAGTTTTCTCAACTATAAATTGGGAATAACATTTGTACCTACTATGTAGAATAGTGCCCAGTAGACCATAATAAGCACTCAATAAATGGTAGGAACTTTACCATTATTGTTAATAACCACCAGAGTTATTGTCTGAGCTAAATAGCTCCAGCTGATTGCACTGCCTTCTAGAGATCATCTGAACAGACTCTGCTATCAGCATCTCTGGTCTGTATACTTGATCCCTATATTTTATACACAATTGAATTGAAGTATGAGTGCACTTAAAACTCCTAAGGAGCAAAGTGCATGTGCTTTTTGATGGCTATCTACTCATTTATATCTAATCCCTGGACTGTGTTCCAAATACGTGGGAGTTCTAGAAACATTGCCTTCCTATAAGTGTGACATTATAAAAATCAATCAATTAATCTACCAATTTTACCAGCAGTTTGAAGTCAAAATGATCATTTTCAAACATAATTTTCCAAAGGTTCCTCTCTGTTCTACCACCCATTTTGTACCAAAAAATCTCTCTTTTTTATTTTTTTGGCCGTGTCATGTGGCTTGCAGGACCTTAGTTCCCCCACCAGGGATTGAACCCCGGCCACGGCAGTGAAAGTGCCTAGTCCTAACCACTGGACCACCAGGGAACTACCCCCACCAAAATCTTTTTTCTTATCTAATGGTTTCTCAAATGCTAAAGAACTACTTGGACAAAATGCGCATCTGAACTTTATTAGTTTTCTCAGGGAAGCCCAAGAAAGGAATATTTCTAAAGCACAAGAATGAGCCTTTTAAGATAGTAACTGTTTTTCCTTTATAACCTTACCCTTGACTCTATACTGAAACAGCAGTATATAAACATACATGTGAGAATCACAAGAAGGCTCTATATGTATAAAGGAATGTGGAGGCAACCAACATGGCTGCACTGACGTTCCCTTCCCTCCTCTCCCTTCCTCCCACCTAGAATGCAGTCCTAAGCATTCCAACCGAAATCTGTGGGTCACAACTTAATCAACTGCACTCCTCATTTCAGTACTGGACAAAGATTACCCATTCACGTTTTTCTCTTAAACCCACAGTCCTGCCCTGAGGTGTACCTTGGGAGAGAAGAAATACTTCAGGAGAGCAGGTGAAGTCATGTATACTGGCATCATTTGAAAGTCACAGAGTTTTCTAAAAAAAATCTCTTCAGGGCTTCCCTGGTGGCGCAGTGGTTAAGAATCCACCTGCCAATGCAGGGGACATGGGTTCGAGCCCTGGTCTGGGAAGATCCCACATGCCACGGAGCAACTAAGCCCACGAGCCACAACTACTGAAGCCCGTGAGCCTAGAGCTCATGCTCCGCAACAAGAGAAGCCACTGCAATGAGAAGCCCGTGCACAGCAACGAAGAGTAGCCCCCGCTCACCGCATCTAGAGAAAGCTCGCACACAGCAACGAAGACCCAACGCAGCCAAAAATTAATTAATTAATATTTTAAAATCCTCTTCAGTCCAAAGTTAACCTATTTGAAACTGACCACTGGGAGCTGGCCTCCTGTCTAAAGGTTTAACTGTAAGTAAACAATCTAAAAAAAATTTTAAAGACCTTGTTTTTGATCAGAGTGTTCAAAGAAAGACTTTTGTGGGTAAAAGTTCACTAGGCTGAAACAATAGAAACATTGGAGAGTGGAATATGGCCTTCACTCTTAAAGCAGAGGGTCCTAGTTCACCTTTGCTGGCCTCCATCATAGGAGAGAATGGATACAGCTTAGTTCACCTCTCAGAATATTTTGCAACTTGATCTTTAATAATAGGAGAGTCAATGAGAAATTACTGTGTTCAGAAGTTGAGCATTTAGGGCTTCCCTGGTGGCGCAGTGGTTGAGAGTCCGCCTGCCGACGCAGGGGACACAGGCTCGTGCCCCGGTCCGGGAAGATCCCACATGCCGCGGAGCGGCTGGGCCCGTGAGCCATGGCCGCTGAGCCTGCGCGTCCGGAGCCTGTGCTCCGCAACGGAAGAGGCCACAGCAGTGAGAGGCCCGCGTACCACAAGAAAAAAAAAAAAAAAGAAGTTGAGCATTTATCTAGCTCTAGGAAAAGTTGGGAACGAATTTCAGCAAGGTTGATCTTCACTTAGCAAATAACCTCCTGAATCTTTTTTTTTTTTTTTTTGCGGTACGTGGGCCTCTCACTGTTGTGGCCTCTCCCGTTGCAGAGCACAGGCTCCGGACGCGCAGGCTCAGCGGCCATGGCTCACGGGCCCAGCCGCTCTGCGGCATGTGGGATCTTCCCGGACCGGGGCACGAACCCGTGTCCCCTGCATCGGCAGGTGGACTCTCAACCACTGCGCCACCAGGGAAGCCCCTGAATCATTTTTAATTATTAAAAAGTGAAAGGCAAAAAGTAGCAGGAACTTTCCCACTCCCTTGTGCCTGTATGGATCCCACTATAGATTCTCAAATTGCCTATAAAGACCACTCAGAACTGAAAAGCGATAGTCAGTCTAACCCATCCCCTGATTTAAACCTTACTTTTTAACCTTTAAGAGAGAGAAAAATGAACCTAATCCTTCATTAATGAGCCTCTAAGCTAGGAGAGGCCAAAAGTAATTACTATTTCAAGAGTATGAAAGTAATTACAGGTCCATGAGTTTGCCTACATGCTCTAGTTGTGGCAACCATATGTCAAATTATCTCAGATAGTCCAGATTTTACACATTTTATCTCAGAAGTTCTTTACTCCTCAGATCACGAAGATCAGAGATTTTTCAGTTTGTAAAATACGATTATTTTAGCTAAAGCCTCATATGCTCTGTTAACAATAATGATGTGCAAAAGTCTTTTAGGCTGAGGGAAGGCTGTTGAAGAACAAATAATCATCTTCCACCCCCTAATGACATCTTACCAAAGTAATAGCTAGTCATATGGCCTATATGATTTAAACGCCCACCAAAAGAACAGCGGTTATCGCAATTATTGTTAGAATTATCCCGTCCCTCTCCTTACTCTAGTGTAAGTGGAGAAAGAAGGAGAGGGGTGCTGGTTAATGACCTTCTGAGTTGTCCTCCTCCTAGTTGGAAGTAACGTGCTCTTCCCAGGTCCCCACGGCATCCTAGGCTCTTCACCAGCCATTTGCTCCATCGTGGGTCACCACTCAATGCAGACCACTGCCCCAACTCCTGGGCACAGTTCTCTTTGTAGGACGTTGTTCCCTGTGATGGACGCAGCATATGAGTAAAAGTGAGGCAGGGCGCACTTCTCTTTACAGTTTCATCCCTTTTTTCTCCACACCTCCACTACCCTAGGTAGTAGAGGTCTATTAGACTTAGAGATTGGTTGGAGTAACTTAAAGAAACCGCAGTGTAGGAAGAAAAAATATTTCTAACTGAACTCGAAATCTGTGATAGTTAGGAGTTCTATTTAAGCTGTCTTCATGGAGATCCCATCAAGACTTCCATTTAATCTCGTTAATTAGAAACTTAGGCTCATCGCCACAGAGACTTGCTGCTTCCAGAGTGAAGTCCATATTTCCCTCTCAAATCTCTCATGTCACAATGGTTTCAGCCTAGTGAACCCACAAAAAACTGTAGAAGGGAGGCCAGCGTAATAAGTGCCCTGACCCCACCACCACCATAGAGAAAGTCAGGGGTTAGAGAATGAAATGGGATTAGTGATATTAATTGATTGTTATATATTTTTTGTACATCCTAGTTTTAGGGTATCAATAGTAATGCTGCTAAAAGACCTTTCTGATAGTCCCTGGAAAGCTAACGAGACATTATATCTATCCTAGATGATTGACATGTAGATAACCAGTCTAATCTTTCTCTAATCTTTCTCTTTTTTTGGCTGCGTTGGGTCTTCGTTGATGCATGTGGGCTTTCTCTCTTTGCAGCGAGCGGGGTCTACTCTTCGTTGCGGTGGACGGGCTTCTCATTGCGGTGGCTTCTCTTGTTGCAGAGCACAGGCTCTAGGCATGCAGCCTTCAGTTGTTGTGGCACACGGGCTCAGTAGTTGTGGCGCATGGGCTTAGTTGTTCCGCGCCATGTGGGATTTTCCTGGACTAGGGATCGAACCTGTGTCCCTGGCATTGGCAGGCAGATGCTTAACCACTGCACCACCAGGGAAGTCCTATAATCTTTCTACCATACCCTCAGGTCTGAGAACCTTGCCGTTTCCTAACCTCTGCTGTGTGGCTCTCTGCCTACTTTGGGAAGATCTAGCCAGTACCCAGGAATCGGTCTCATCCCAGGAGCTTTCTCTTGCTGCTCCCAGTAGCTCATTCTCTGAGTCTGAGTTATTCAGTCCAAAAATCCCAAATGCTTCAGATAGCTCTCACAGAATAGTCCAGGTGGGCACATGGGCCCTCTAAGTGAGATCCCTATTTAAGTCTCCTCACCACTGTGAGTAGCAAATATGCCTCTTTTTTCTTAAAATTGTCCAGCCAATAACTGTTGGAACACAGATGCACACACATATACAAACCTTTCAAGAGCAAATGTTAAAATCACAGAAACAACGTAAAATCTAAACTAAAGCTCTTAAACTGTTTATAAAGGGAATTCATCCCACAGACATGTCTCATCAGCATGGTGTTTTGCTGTTGTTGTTGCTGTCTTTAAATGATTTCTAATGTCTTTGAAGGGGGCATGTAATTCCCATTTCCCCCAGTCAGGTTTAGTTTAATAATTTAAAACTTTCTTCTATTATGCCACCAAACATTTTTATTTGTTCAGCAAATATTTACTGAGCTTCAACTATAAGTCAGGCATACTCATACTCAGAATAGGGCAATGAGCAAAACAAAGCTCCCTGCCCTCATGAAGCTTACATTCTAGTAAAGAAAATAATTTCATTATTCATGGTAAAGAGCCTATTGTTAATGTCTACAATACTGAAGATTTAATATATTCTGGCTTTAATTCAGAATTATCTACCTTGCATGTACATTTTTCATGTAATCAGGAGATATTATCTCAACTCAAAGTAACCGCATGTTATTAAATACCCATTTAGCAATGAAATGTTCAAATGTAACCTGTCTGTGACCAGTTTACTCAATAGGGAATATTAATGACATTGAGGTCATTACACTTGGGCTTACTCTATGCACAAATTAGTTAATACCCTTCAGTCTCATAGCCACAGACTCTGCTAACCTGGCCAGTCCTCCTTCAGAGGCCTGCAGCTGGAAACAAGAGCAATGAAGGAATGATAGATTAGGTGTCCATTAGCGCCTTTGGAAAAACAACTTAACATCCACTTCCTGATGATGGTGTTCCAAGAGGCATGCTGGACAATAGTGTCGTTGTGATTAAATGTGGCTCAGGGCAGTCTTCACACTTTAAGCTCCCCAGGTTCCCCTCTGTCTCCACCAGCCAGGAGTATCACGAAGGAGTTCTTTTCCTTGGATGAGATCCTTGGGATAGGATTGCAGCCCTTTCATTTCTGTGCTGCTTCTGTGGTATAGTCTTCTGCCTTCAAGAGAGTTTCTGAACTATTGATGCAAATAATTTAAGAGAATAACAAATGTGATGAGGTGTTTTGAGAATTTAAGCTGACACATTCTGGTACTCAGACATGTTTGGAGGACCTGGCTGCTAAGGTTCCATGTATGTGAAGGATTAAGAACGAGTTCATCCTAAGGGAAGAGAGGACCAAAAGGCAGGGTTGGGAGAGAGGAGTGATTCTGGGCACAGACCAGATTCATGTTTGAATCTTAGGGAAAGGGAGCTAAGATAAAGTGCATGTAAAACCCTTTATTTTAAAAAAGAGTCATTTCCATAAAATCTCTGTGAGCCATCAGGACCTTAAAGTAGCCCCTTCAGATCGGCTGTGTCACTGTATGGAAGAAATTGGAGGTGAAGAGTGCTTTTGCCAGTTGGAATTTCTATTGTAACAGACTGAAATGGCCAGGATCAGGACCCCAAAAGAAGGAGGGGCAGTATCCCACCTCAATGAGCATTGGCTACAAAGCACAGACATCAGTGGCTTCAGGTGCTGTGGGGCCTGTCATCAGTGTGTACTTACACGTTGGTTTTAGGATGGCAGGAGATTGGACCAAAGTGAATCAGAGTCAGGAAAGTGCATGTAGATGTGTCTAAGTGCCATAGTCAAGACTGGTTCCACAGATTTCTCACTGCCAGAGAAGTGAGCTGTAATATGGAAAGGGGGAATGCTAAAATGAGCCCTGCAACGCTGGACTGGAACTGGAAACATCAATATGAGCACAATGCTTTATAACTGTGTGTGCGTGTGTGTGCATGTGCATGTGCGTGTGTGGGTGTGTGTGTGAGAGAGAGAGAGAGAGCAAGGAAGCGAGCCTGAGCCTGTCCTCTGAGAGAGCCTACAAGCAATGAAACACCAGTACAAATTAGCACACCTAGAACCTGAACTTTTCTAAATGCTATTCTCCGCTAAAGAAACCAGGGCTTCTTAGGTAAGTGGCTTATTTCAGGACTCATGCTAGGAAAATACAAGAAAAGCCTGGAATATCTTGTGTCATAAAGTCAGGAAGCTTAAAGAATTTTGGAGACATGTCAAAAGGACAGTTTGAAGGGACTCGACTATCCAAATCAGGGACAATTTTAGCATCAAAATAGTGTCAATAACAGATTATAACCCACTGAATAAAATAAGAATCTATGCGTCATAATGGTGTAAATAAATTGCCAAACAAATCATGTAGAAGAGAACATTTTTCCTTACTATAGAATGCCAATTAAAAAATATACAAGGGATGATAAATTTATAAAAAATCACCATTTGGCAATCATCATAGTAATGATTGACTCAGGCAAGGCTCATCAGTGGATGCTAAAACTAGTGGGTGAGTTTTGATGAGAAACAAGATATTCAAGTAACCTCAAAGTATCTCCCTACAAGATACTTAGCTATAAAGGGAAAAATAGTAATTTTAAAATAGAGAAATCTAGCAGTTTCTACCTTAACAAGTCATTAAAGGTAACTTCAATAGAAATGGAACAATTCAACTCCTAATATTATGTACTGTGATCGCATCACTTCTGAGGTATTCCTGCTTAGAATGCATAACCTGAAGCTAATCATGAGGAAACATCAGACAACCCAAATTGAGGAACACTCTACAAAACAACTGGCATGTAACTCTTCAAGTATGTCAAGGTCATGAAAAACAGTGTGGAAAATTTCTTCCAGATTGAGGGAGATTAAAGATACAACTGAATGCAATGTATGATCTGGATTTTTCTTTTACTGTAATGGGTATTATTGGAACAATTGAACAAAATTTGAATGAGGTCTGTAGATTACATCATATTATTGAATCAGTATTGACTTCTTAATTTTCATAATTGCACTGTAGTTATAAAAGAGATTGTCCTTGTTTTAGGAAATACATACTGCATTACTTAGGGGAAAATGGTATCATGTCTACAACTTATTCGCAAACAGAAAAAAGTTCAGAAAAAAAATGATAAATAAGTAAATACATACACACATACAGAGGGAGAGAGTGTGCAAGCCCACACTAGGTATTGACCTAGGTTGCTAGGAGAAAGAGTTGAAATTAACAGGCAATTTACACAGGACTACTTTCAGAAATTCTGAGAACATGCCCCTAAGCCCTTTTATTGGGTGCCTGCCCGGTGCCAATGTATGTTGTAAGATAAGGGAGAGCTCACACAGCAGAGTCTTGAATACCAGTGAGTCATTCTCTCTGTTTGAGGCACCTATGTAACATTCTTCTAACAGAAAGTCAGTTTGACTCATCTCAACTTCTATTTCACAAATGTCTCTACCAAAAATTGTTTCTTTAACTTTCATCTTCACATTGAGTCGTTAGAGTCAAAAATTCCACACAACTCTCCTGCTTGAACAATAGAATAATCTTTTTTTTTTTTTTGGCCGTTCTGTGCGGCATGCAGGATCTTATTTCCCAACCAGGAATCGAACCCGTGCCCCTCTGCAGTGAGAGCGTGGAGTCTTAACCACTAAACCACCAGGGAAGTCCCAGAATAACCCATTTTCTGATGAACAGATTTAATTCAGATAAATTAAAAATACTTATCTAGGGACTTCCCTGGTGGTCCAGTGGGTAGGACCCCATGCCCCCAATGCAGGGTGCCTGGGGTTCGATACCTGGTCAGGGAACTAGATCCCCCATGCATGCTGCAACTAAGACCCAGCACAGCCAAAATAAATAAATATGAAATAAATAAATATTTTTTTAAAAATAAAAATACTTATCTAATATACGGATAAAATATTTTGGACCCAAAAGTCAAAGCTGATTAAAAACCAGGACAGATCACAGATTGAACCACCACCATCCTCTCTTTGCTGTATTATTTGTTTGCTCTCTTTGCTCTATTATTTCTATATCACTTGTGGGCAGGAAGCAGCCATATTGAAATACAAATTTTACTTGTTTCTTTAAAAAAAGAAAAACAAATAGATGGTTTATTCTAAGAATGTACAGGAACTTATATTCTAAACGTCCATAAATACATATTCTAGGGACTCTTATCACCTTAGAACCCTACTACAGTTTCTCTTTAATCTTTTTAAACATCCTGTCACATAAATTGCAGCTGTATCTATAGCAGGAAGAATAATAAGATAATAATTGGTCAGACATCAAAAGCACTTGGGTGGGTCATATAGAGACATTTAGTCTTCTCTCCTACCAGCACCACGTTCTTAGATTTTTTTTTTCCAACTACATTAATGTAGTTTTTGTTTGTTTCTTCTTTTTCCTTTCCCCTAAGTAATTACTATGAATTTTTGCCAGGTCAGAATTTTTTCCCAGGAAGAGATCCCAAGTATTAAGAAAGCAGAAAAACGGTACCTGAAGATAAGATGTAAACTCTTACCAGGCCCGCCCCTCCCTTTGAATTCTTTTTGCATATTGAATGGGATTAATTGGTGGAGTTGTATGTCCTCAATTTTGTATGAGGGAGAGGTCCTACCTGGCCTGTGCTAGGAATTTCCGATTAACTTTCACGGGATAAATTTGGAACTGCTCTTACCACCCAGTATTACAGTAAGAACCACACAAATTATCTTATGTGGGCTGTGAATCATATGTATATATCCAGCAAGTATTTCTAGGTCATAAAATGTTAGAGTTAGGAAGAGTTTTAGAAGCCTTTTAGCTTGATATCTCTTCCAACGTAGACATTTCATCCATCGCTTTTCTGACAAATGATCACCAGTTAAGATTCCAATTTTTGTTGTAACAAGGAGCTGCCTATGGTGTTGGGCAGCCCGTTCCGTTGCTGGACAGCTCTCATTGTAACCCTTGCCTCTTGCTGTGGTTATTTGGAGCCTCACAGAATACGTCTACCCCTCTTCCATACAACAGCCCTTTACACATTTGGTGGCTGCTAATTTGTCCTAAGCTATCACCAGGTCTCAGGATGATTTTTCAGATAATGTTGAGTAAATGCATAAACTACCCAAAGTTTACAATAGTAAACTATTTACAATAGTAAATTATGGTTATATTTTTGTTTTCTTACTTATGTATAAATTCTAATTTTCAAAGTAAATATTTACTTTAATAATGACATTAATTACTTTTATTGAGTTTTATCTAGATGCCAGGTCCTGGCATGCATATATAATTATCCTAAATAACCCTGAGAGACGGGAACTATAATTATCCCCATTGTACAGAAGAAGAAACTAGGGCACAGAGGAACTAAATAATTTGCCCAAGGTCACATAGCTAAGCAAGTGGCTGAAAAGAAATTGGAACCTAGGTTTGCCTGATTCTTAACCAATCATCTTATAACAAGAAAAACTATTTCTTGGGGCTTCCCCAGTGGTGCAGTGGTTAAGAATCCGCCTGCCAATGCAGAGGACATGGGTTCAAGCCCTGGTCCGGGAAGATCCCACATGCTGTGGACCAGCTAAGCCCATGTGCCACAACTACTGAGCCCACGTGCTGCAACTACTGAAGCCTGCACGCCTAGAGCCCATGCTCCACAACAAGAGAAGCCACCGCAATAAGAAGCCTGCGCACTGCAACGAAGAATAGCCCCCGCTCGGCGCAACTAGAGAAAGCCTGAGCACAGCAACACAGCCAAAAATAAATTAATTAAATTAATTAATTAAAAAAAAACACAACTGTTTCTTTTGTGGGGGAGGGGAATATTTGTTTTATTTTTAGTGTTGTGTCAGAAACAGATATGCTGGACAGCATAAAGTACACTGTGATTATTATGTCCTTTGATTTGGACACAATGCAATCTGTTAATGTCCCTATGACTGCATTTGATTTTTCACCTGTGATATGAGGCTACTGGCTCATATAGAGCTTTGCAAAAAATCCTTTGGTTCTTATTTTATTTTTCTTTTTTCCCTTGACTCCCTTTTGCCCCCTCCTCTATCACCCCATCAGTTCCTGCCCCTCCAGTAACCATTTTATCAACCTAGTTGTTAACATTTTTCTCCATTTTCATATGGTCATATATAGACAAATACAAATGTACACATATTCAATATAGATTTTTTTTGTCATGTAAAAAAAGTGACTACTTTTTCCCTCCTACTTTTACTTAAAACAATTTCTCATCTAAAACTCCTCTAAATCAACTGGCAGGGTACAAACTTATTCCTTTTAATGGATGTTTCAAAATGTGGGTATACTATATTTTTTGAAACCATTCCCCTATTGATGATATGCATAGTATTTATAATGTGTGTGTGTGTGTTGCCACTTAAAACACTGCTCCAATAAATATCCTTGTACATATATATAGGATACATATGTATTGTTTTATATGTATGTATTGTTTTATTTCAATAGTTTTATTGAAACTAGTGGTTTTATTTGAGTAGGATAGATCCCCAGAACTGAGATTGCTGGATCACATTTTTAAAATAATAGCTGTTACCAGCAGTTGCTTTTGAAAAAGGCTGTAATACTTTTTATTTCAATAGCAGCTACATGAAAATACCCTTCACCCCACATCCCTGCAGCAATAAGTATTACAGCCTATTCAACAGCTGTTCTAATAAAACCTCTGTGAAACAAGAGGTCAAAGGAAACTACTTAAACATAGTAAAGATAATTTACTGAAAATCAATAGCAATTATAATTCTAAGTGGCAAAAGATTAAAATTCTTTCATTCAAAATCAGGAACTACACATTGAGCTTTTAATTAAATACATCTCTCAGGTCTCTTTTATGCTTAACTTTAAAATTGATGTATATTACACATATAAAAATGTACAAATCATAAGTGCACAGATCAATGAATTATTGCAAAATAGGGGAATTCCCTGGTGGTCCAGTGGTTAGGACTCTGCACTTTCACGGCGGTGGCCCCGGGGTTCAATCCCTGGCTGGGGAACTAAAATCCTGCAAGCTGCGCGGCATGGCCAAAAAAAAAAAAAAAATTATTGCAAAATAAACACATTCATATAACCACCACCCAGGTCAAGAAACAGACACTAGCAGCAGCTCAAAAGCCTTCTTCATGCCCCCTCCCAAACATTGCCCCCTTCCTCCTTCCTCAAGAGAACCACAGTCCTAACTTTTAACACCACAGAATAGTTTTCCCTGGTTTTGAAATATATAGAAATAAAATAACGCAGTGTATACTCTTCTTTACATGTCTGGTTTATTTCTCTCAATATTATCTTTGTGAAGTTTTCCATATTACAGATAGCAATAGTTCACTCATTTTCATTGTGGTACAGTAGTTCATTGTATGAATACTATACACAATTATCTATTCTATCTTTGATGGACTTTCAGGTGCTTTTGAATCTGAATCCTGTCCTCCAATATATCAGCCACCAATACTCCCAGCTTTGTGTCATCAGAAATTTGGATGGTTACATCATCTCTGTCTACACAAATCATTGACTTTTAACTGTTTGACAATACCAGACAGATTTGTGTCAGCCATCTAGAGATCTCCCTTCAGGTTAACCTTAATACACTAATAAATATTATTTGGGCAAAGTTGTTCAATGAGCTAAAACTATAGCTATGTGTAGTATCATTGAGCATACATTTCTACACCTCGTCTGATTCAAATAAACAAATATTTCTTGAAGGTCTACTGTGTTCTGGGTACTGACTGGGGATAGAGCAGTGAACAAAACAGATCAGATCCATAGCCTCGCTGAATTTATGTTCTAGTTGATGAGACAGATATAAACAAACAATTTAGATAATTTTATTTAAGTGCATGAGGAAAGCGAAACAGGGCAACAGGATAGGAAGTAATGAGGAAGGAGGCAGACAGCGTTAGAAGGCAGTAACCACAGGAAGACTGAAGTGTAACATTTCAGGCAAGAGGAACAGCTAACACAAAGGCCCTGAGGAGCGGATAAGCTACAAGAAACAAGAAGGTTAAATAACTGTAAATGGAAAGTACATTTCCATTTACAACTAGGGAAGCCCCATCCCAAGCGTTTTGATCAGCTGTCTTGCTGAAAACTAATTTAGCATGTCGTTGGGGCTTCCTTGGTGGCGCAGTGGTTGACAATCCTCCTGACAATGCTGGGGACACGGATTCGAGCCCTGGTCCGGGAGGATCCCACATGCCGCGGAGCAACTAAGCCTGTGAGCCACAACTACTGAGCCTGCGTGCTGCAACTACTGAAGCCCTTGCGCCTAGAGCCTGTACTCTGCAAGAAGAGAAGCCACTGCAATGAGAAGCCTGAGCACCGCAGCAGAGTAGCCCGCGCTCACCGCAACTAGAGAAAGCTGCGTGCAGCAACGAAGACCCAACTCAGCCAAAAATAAATAAAAAGTAAATAAATTTATTTTTAAAAATTTAGCATGCCCTTGGATTTCTTTAATCTGCCTGTCTAGTAATCACGTCATAAAAGGAAACAACATTACTTAGGTGCCTGCGTGATATGGCCCCTGGTTACCTGGGTAGTTTCATTCTTGCACTCTGCCTCCTGTTTACCATTCCAGCCACCTCCGCTTTTTCTCTGTTCCTCTAGCCTGCCAAGTTTATTGCTGACTCATGTCTTTTTCACACGTGGTTTTCAGGTTGTCTCTGTAGCAATACTTCCTACATTCTATTCATCTCCAGGGCTCAGATTACATGCTGCTTGTTCACAGAGGATTTCTCTAGCACTGACCCCTTCTGCAATGAGGCTAGTTCCTCTACTTATGTTCTCACATGAATCCCAGTGTTTTCTTTCATAGCACTTACCACAAGTTGCAATTATGCTGTAATTTTTGATATTATTTGTTTTCCTCGCTAGAGTTCCACAAGAGGCAGAAATGTGCCTGTTTTGTTTTCTGCTTCATTCCTAGTGCCTTGAACAGTGACTGCAATCCAGTAGGTACACAATAAATATTTGTTGAATGAACGAACTTGCCCTTAGTGGACCCAAGTTGATACTTAGCATCAATTCCTTTAAGTGCTCATAAAACATTTTTTAATAATCCACCCAAAATTTTCCAGGGATCACTGAAGATTTTAAGACCGTAATTTTTTTTTTTTTTTGCGGTACGCGGGCCTTTCACTGTTGTGGCCTCTGCCTTTGCGGAGCACAGGCTCCGGATGCGCAGGCTCAGCGGCCATGGCTCACGGGCCCAGCCGCTCCGCGGCATGCGGGATCCTCCCGGACTGGGGCACAAACCCATGTCCCCTGCATCGGCAGGCGGACTCTCAACCACTGTGCCACCAGGGAAGCCCAAGACCATAATTTTTAAGGTCTCATTTTTTTCCACATGAAATACTTTTTTGGAGAGTAAAATTTATGTATTATATAGATGTAATTTAAAAGTAGTACCGAATATTTATAATGAAATAACAAAACAAAACAAAACCTGCTCTACTCCCCAGTCTTACTCTCTAGATAGGCAGCTATTTTAAACTAAGCAGGTTTGGTCAATCCTCCATCTTCAAAAGAAGCCCTTTTTCACATTTGAAAATCAGTACATGTCACCTTCCGACACGTTTCCTGCTTTCAATAATTTTTATAATATTTCTATTTGTGGTTTGCAATCATATTAGCTATTTCTTTCACTACCTTTCAGTACTGGGATTAGAAATCTTGATTTGTTCAAAGCAGTGGTATATCTCATATAAGCTCTCCTCAGTGGTATTTCAAATTTCTTACCTATGTTTGTTCTTCCTGTTGCAGCATGAAAATTATCCTCCTTTTCTTTTTTTACTGAGGTAGAACTCACCATAAATTTCACCTTTTGAAAAAAGTATCTTTCTTGTTGAGGAAGGTGGAAAGAAAAGTAAACCTTACATGGCTCACCAGCAGACATACTGCTGTTTTCTAGAAGCAATGGTCTCTTGCCCAGGATGGCCTGGGTTCCAAAGCCAAGGTAAGGAGGGAGGACGATAGTGAGGAGTAGATAGGTAGAGGCAGGAAAGTGAAAGCATAGACTGTCTATTCAGAAAGTAGTGAATTCCTTTCAACAATTTTCTCTCATAACAAGTTTGTCATTCCTTATTTCACATCAAATGGTCCTCTATCAAATATCACAGGCAAATTTAGATATAAATTTATATTATATACATACATATATATATATATATATATATATATAACATTACTGGTGAGGGAATCCAAACAGAAATTGGGTGATTTAAAAAAAATTTATTTATTTATTTATTTTTGGCCGTGTTGGGTCTTCGTTACTGCGTGCAGGCTTTCTCTAGTTGCGGCTACTCTTCGTTGCAGTGTGCGGGTTTCTCATTGCGGTGGCTTCTCTTGTCACGCTGGCTTCTGTAGCTGTGGCATGCAGGCTCCGTAGTTGTGGCGCATGGGCTTAGTTGCTCCGTGGCATGTGGGATTTTCCTGGACCAGGGCTCGAACCTGTGTCCCCTGCATTGGCAGGCGGATTCTTAACTACTGCGTCACCAAGGAAGTCCTATATATATATTTTTATGTATAGTTTGGAGTTGATGCTACCCAAGTCATCTTAAGAGCCTCTTGTGCTCTAGGCATTGTTACCTTTGGAGATCCTTTGTATTATCATATAAACATATTAAAATGTCACATCCCAAATCAAATATTAAATCTTGCTATAAAATTTTGACACAATGTTATATAACTTTTCTTTTGAAATTATTATTTAAACCAGAAGTAATGTTTAATTTGTTTGCTTATCATTTCTCAAAAATCATTATGAAATCTTATGAATTTATGTAGAATGAAACAAAATCTAGCCTTCAAATGCTTTTCAAATGTAAAAAATTTATTTTGAATATTAATTTTATAATTGATAAACTTCACATGATACATATGTGGACATTTGTTTTACTCGTTTCAAAAAATTGTGCACAGGGCTTCCCTGGTGGCGCAGTGGTTGAGAGTTCACCTGCCGATGCAGGGGACACGGGTTTGTGCCCTGGTCCGGGAAGATCCCACATGCCGCTGAGCGGCTAGGCTCGTGAGCCATGGCCACTGAGCCTGCGCATCCAGAGCCTGTACTCCGCAATGGGAAAGGCCACAACGGTGAGAGGCTTGCGTACAGAAAAAAAAAAAAAAAAAAAATTGTGCACAAATATAACTTTTGTTTTAAATGTTAGTATTTTAAAATACATTAAATATTCTATAAATACTTTTTTTTAAAGATTTATTTTTATGTGTTTATTTATTTTGGCTGTGCCGGGTCTTAGTTGCCCCATGTGGGATCTTTGTTCTGGCATGCGGGATCTTTAGTTGTGGCACGCAGACTTCTTAGTTGCGGTATAAATACATTTTTAAATACATTACATACATTCACAGAAGATCAATCAATCAACCCAGAAAAGTATAAAAGAAAAGTAAAATCCTTTTTCTTATCTAGCATTCCCATTTTCTAGAGTCTTAGAAGCAATCACTGTTGATAATGTCGTGTGTACTTCCAGAAATTTTGCATACATATCCCAGCATGACAATGAAAAAAATTAGTAGTCAATCTAAGAAAGAAATGGAAAACTTTATTCAAGCCAACCTGAGGATTATTACCCAGGAGACAGTGTTTTGAAAGCTCTGAGGACTATTCTGCCCCTTAGAGGTCAAAGCATAGTTACATAAGTTTTCAAGACAAAGGGTTATACATTAAAGTAATATACTGACAGTTTACATAGCCCAACAAGGTGAGTAGTGGGTTATTGTGACCCCTTACAGGACTGAGAAAGGAATGTTATCTCCTAAGGTGTTACCTTGCTCGTGCCAGGAGGAAATTGCTTTTTTTGGTGAGTAGACATTCCTGTGTCTTCTAAGGGGGATCTAGTTAATGTATAATGCAGGTGCACAATGCACACTAAAGGGGAAGGGGTAGTGGCTCAAACAGGCAGGGAGTGAATTTTATGTTTAAAAATTTTCTTGTCCTGACTTAAAAATAATTTTATTTCATCAATCCCCCTTTTGATCGTTAATCAAAAGGTGATCAAATATCTGGTCCCTCGATGCTAGGATGGTTGCTTACTTCCCCTGGTCCATCATGTCCCTCAATGCTGGTTTCTAATAGCCCAGTTCTTTGTTTTCTCTTATGGGGGGGTTGTACTGGTAGGGTGTCTGGCAAGGACTGACAGTCATTTTTTTTTTAATAAATTTATTTATTTTTGGCTGCATTGGGTCTTCATTGCTGCACTCGGGCTTTCTCTGCTTGCGGTGAGCAGGGGCTACTCTTCTTTGCAGTGCGTGGGCTTCTCATTGCAGTGGTTTCTCATTGTGGAGCACAGGCTCTAGGCTCATGGGCTTCTGTAGTTGTGGCATGCGGGCTCAGTAGTTGTGGTGCATGGGCTTAGCTGGTCCACAGCATGTGGGATCTTCCTGGACCAGGGTTTAAACCCGTGTCCCCTGCATTGGCAGGTGGATTCTTAATCACTGCGCCATCAGGGAAGCCCCGACAGTCAATTTCAAGTTGTCCAGTAGGATTTATGCCAATTTTACCTTGCATGTACCTTGTGCATGTCCATTATTTTATAGAGAACTATAGATGTGATCAATAGTTTCAGGTTGTTTGGATATCATCTTAGTAGAAGCAGGTGATACACAGCATAAAGGCAAGAAACTATTACTTTCTTTTTTCTTTTTTGGCTGCGTTGGGTCTTCACTGCTGTGCGCAGGGCTATTCTTTATTGCAGTGTGTGGGCTTCTCATTGTGGTGGCTTCTCTTGTTGTGGAGCACGGGCTCTAGGTGTGCAGGCTTCAGTAGTTGCAGCACACAGGCTCAGTAGTTGCAGGTCATAGGCTCTAGAGCACAGGCTCAGTAGTTGTGGTACACACGTTTAGTTGCTCTGTGGCTTAGATGTTTCGAAGACCAGGGATTGAACCCGTGTCCCCTGCATTGGCAGGCATATTCTTAACCAGTGGGCCACCAGGGAAGTCCCAAGAAACTGTTACTTTTAAAGTTACACAAACTGTAATAAAAATTGCCAATAGGAGTAACTATCATTAGTTAAGATTTAACCCAGCATCCTCCTGAACCAAACCATCTTCCTAGTATTTACCTTAAACTGGGAAGAGGATCATTCAGAATGGTAATTTGATTTTTCATATGTATCATAAGGCGGGTTACATTAGAAGATTCATCAGTATAAAAGCACAACATTCACTGTGTATGAGCACAAGTTCCCCCTTTGGAAGCTGTTAGAATACTGAGGGCCATGCAATTCTGTAGGACTGCTTTTCTCATCATGGAACCTTCTTAACTGAGCAAACTAATGACTTGGTTACTACGATTTAAAGCTTGCTGGGTGAATTTTGTTGAAGGCTCTGTATGAGTAATGACATATTCTGCTTCAAGTGAAGGAACAAATATCATGGCCAAATAATCATACCACTGGAAAACTGATTGAACCCAGCATGCCCAGTTAAAGGCAGATTGGCAGGGACTAGTTTCAATGCTACCGTAGGTGACCATGAGCCCAAGGGAAACCAACTGTTCATCTTCCTAACCTACCTGGGGATAGCCAATGCTGTAAATTTGTTCCATAAATCGATTGGGTCTTGT